TACTAGGTATTTTGTTTTCACAATAAACAAAATGAAATAAATAAATTCCTGATCTACTTGATCAGGAATGTTTTAAACTCAGTTGAGACAACTAGCTGGCTCAACTCACTTTTACAGTGGGTGGTCATGGGAAACCAGGATGTTATTTTGGAAAATGACATTGCTGTTATTTTTCTGCCACAAACCCATTTCCATTCACCCTCATTGTATTGTTGGGAGATGTCTCAGATCTCCAAACCTCAGCAAATCAAACCACAAACATGTCATCTGCTGCTGAGAAAGTGTGTTTTTGTGATTGGGGTGAACTGAACCTTCAAAATAATATTCTTCAGGTCTGCTTCAGTGCTCATACTGTGTGACAATATTACATTTCCATTTGGAGAGCTAGCAGGAGAATTTCTTGTTGGCGACAAATATTCTTCTGTCAGGAGGAAACAGGTGGTGCTGCTCTTTCATGTTATGGATATGGGCTGTGTTGGATGTATTTTTCTATTCACAGTATGGTCATTGTGTGGATGTTATTACAGACCTTGGACCTAAGTCCAGTATGCAAATTATACAAGTGTGATGTAGAAACTTAAAGCCACCAGTGCACATCCACTGCAGAAAAAACATATCAGACACACATAATATTCCAAGCAGAATTTTTCCATAAATATGAAGCAACCTTTTTTACTTCTCATATGAATAATAAACTCATCAGGTGAGATGCCGGCAATCAAGTACAAGTTATGCTAAGAGCCTGGGGTTACAGGGATTGTAAATCTCTGACTCAAATGCGACAGAATGAGTAATAGTCAGTGAGTAAAAGTAAGTAGGACAGCCCAGTGGTGGTAAGTACTTTACTTCATCACAGTACTGATGTACCTGTATTTTACTTGAGTACTCACATTTTATTTTGTATTTTTACCTTATTTATCTGACACCTTACTGGTTAGTGGTTAAGATTTTACATTAAACACATATGATAACTTGCAAAATGCTACACATTGTTAAAGATTAAATCAGTGGCTTCTGCACTGTTTGCCTTGTGAACCCTTATATCAAAAGCGGTGTGTGACTGCGTCTCCTTGTCATGTTTCAGATGTTTGTGAGTTGTTAGTAGTTAGTAGTTCCACCAAAGAGACATTTCACCTCTAAACTTTTCAAATGGTTTAAGTTAAATACTGTTTAACTCCAACCATTTAAGCATGATTTTTTTTTAATGAAGTATATTACACTCACATGCAGCATTTCTCCAAACTTATTACTCTGTTTTCTTCCACTAAAGCAAGTTATTACATTACCTGTCAAAACAGCTGACATACGATGAAAAAACAGATTACAATTAATCGATTACCAAAATGGTAGCCAATTAATTAATATAGTTTTGTTATGATATAAAGTCAGTTTAAAGAAAATTAGTCAGTGGAACAAACTGGAATTATACCACCAATACTTAAAATACTGCACACATTAGTCATTAAGTTATTACTTCAACAGTTAATTTTTTAGTTAGGTTTAATTTATGGGAATGAGTTCTTTTATTAAGATATGCTCTTTGGATTTACAGTGTACAATTTTTTCTTCTTTCCTCTTCCATTAATTGTCTCACGACCCCTCAGATCCATCTAGTGAAACCACGGGATAAACTAAAAAAAGTAGAAACTAATTTGTGTGCAACAGTGAACCACTCATGGAAAATCAGCTCAATAGCTTTACTACAGATCTAATGGTAACATACCTGTTAGTATTGTATTCAATTTCTGCCAATAGAGCCTCCTAAATATTACACACTGGGCCTTTTAAGTACAAAAACAGAATACTCCTTCCACCACTGTTCAACCTAATGAAAGTGAATGGATTGCATGAGTGATCCAATTTCTTTGTTTGATCAAGCAAAGACTGGACACACCCGACATAGCTAGAGCTGAATGTGACACATTGAATGTCTTTAATGGAAGAGATGGATTATTGACATGGATAGATGGTTCTGATACTGGCAGCTTTAATGTGGTTCTGGGTCCCACATCTACTCTGTATAAACTGGTATTAACAGATAACAAGTAAACAGGAAAGTAGGGCATCAGTCACACACTCCTAATCTTATTTACTTGCCTCCCTAATATTTTTTTGTCTTCATACAAAAGTGTTTATTAATTAGAAAGCCAGCAGTTCAACATGGTAGGAATTCAAGTCTACAGAGTCTATGGCCATCAACTCTCAGACACTGGTCTGTAAAAGCCCTGACACAACAAACCGACATCAAAGAACTAGTTGTGACAAAAGCCGACTGTCACCTGTGTCGCACAAGCTATAGCAGACAACCGCGAGAGGTAATCACACCTCCATACCAGTAAGTAGTGGTACTCTGCATTTGTCATTTAAAAAGAAGACTGGAAGACTGATAGTTAAGCTGAAAAACCAATCAGAGTGATTCCTCTCACTGATGGCTTCCGCCGTTGATTCAACATGCTCAGTTGGCGGGAAAAGCCACAGATGAAGGCTGACGAGTGCCAACAGTGTGGAAGACACTGCAAAAAAACTAGGGCTACAGACGCTCACAGATGGCCCAACATTGGCCGACCGTTGGCCTGGAGTCTCAGGCCTACATTGAATTTTCTCTCAAAGTCACTGTGCACAATGAATGAATAGCAAAGGAGAAAGTCAAGGCAGCTGGACTTGTCTGGATTGTCATGTGATCTCACATGACAATCCAGCTTGCCAGGCTTCAAGTTATGCGCTTATGTTCAATCACAGTGCTTGTGGCATGAGCTACTACGCAAGATTCAACTCTAGGTGTGTGTCGACGTGTGTGAGAAATTACGGTTCACTTGAAAACAACAATGGCAGCTACTTAAGAAGTTAGTGTAGATGCTGCTAGCATCAGTTATATCAGAACTGGAGAGTATTTCTTCAACGGCACGGAAGGCTTTTCTCAGTGGAAAATATGTTTTCATGCTTCAGTAAGAGTTTTACTACGTTAGATGGTTTGTTAATCTAATTGGTTGAAGTTAACCCGTTTTGATTAAGAGTAGGCTTAAAGCAAAGTTGATTTTCTGAAGGCCTTACTTAAGAAAAGGTTTCATCAAGGTAAAAAACTGCTTTGGCCTAACCCTGCAACATTTGCCACACCTTGAACTTATTGAGTCATCCACTAGAACAGTGCTTTGTCAAGTGATCTTACCTTAAACATCCACTTTTATAGAATTCAAACCAAGCACAATTATTTTTTACAAGTACACAATGTCATCATGACATTTTTCTACATTAAAAATAGATTCCACTCTTCCCTGCATTCAGGGAGGGTGCTGTTAGATATGAATTCCTTGTATACTTCTACACACTTAAACAAACACTGCCATGAGGGACATTACACAAACACACACACACACACACACACACACACACACAGAGCAGGCATACAGTTAGTAAACACACATATACAATGCCATCTTCCTTTTAACATAAAATATACACATATTGTCCTGCCTGCAATCAGAGCACATGACTGTGATGATAAACTGAGTATGAACATCACATGCGTGCTGCTGATTCTTACAAATATGAATAAGATTCACTGCATAACGTTTTACAAACAAAACAAGTAAGGCTTACAAAACAGGCTGTTTTCACTTAACATAGGCTACATTTGAGGAATCTATTCTGTCAAAATAGACTGACTGGGACAAGGGAAAGTTTATTTTATGTAAATTTTCTGAAGTTAATGGCATCGTGCTGCCAAGCTTCAATGGTGATGGCAAGAATAGCAGTATTTTGATTAAAGGGAATTAGAGATGAATCACCCTCATGAACAAATCATAAATCAATAGTAGCCCAAGTTTATGCACGATCAAAAGTCGATGAAAATACTGCCAATATTTTGAGAGACCCCCCAAAATTTCCCAAATCATGTTTTCAGGGGAGCTCATGTCTTATTAAGAGGAGCAAGCCCCCCCCCCGGCGCTCCCTGTAGTTCACACCTTGTGTTCAATTCAATGACACCTGGACAAAGTCCATCTGCTGAAGATTATGTGACTAGTACTGCTACAATATGAACATTGTGGTGAGAAATGTTTTCCCACATTCATTTTTATCCATATAGCCAATTAACTTCAATACTTTTTTATTTTATTCATAGCATTCTTTATGCATATGGTTGAACAGACTATTACAATCAATTTAATTGTCAACTCTATGATAGTGTCAAATGGATATAATGGCAGTCCATATAATGTTTAACCAAAACATAGACAAATTTACACCTTAAAATAGAAATACCCACTGTAGGCTCCTATGATACATGCTTGGAAACAATGTTACAGTGTTGGGTGACGAGGTAACAATGTATGAGCTCTATGTCCTCCATTACTGTAAGTCTGTGCTTGTGAGTGTGTATGATGTGTGTGTGTATGAGACAGAGACCGAGAGACAACGAGAGAGAGAGAGGGGGGGGAGAGAGATTAATTATAAGTATTTAGAGTGGAACAAGAAATAACTCAGTTTCGAGATCAACAAAGGCATATACCCCCAGCCTACATGTAATGCATATAAGAGGAAATGGCGTATATCCGCCATTGCTGCTTCTTCTCCCACCTAGTACACGCACACGCGCGCGCACACGCGCACACACACACACACCACACACACACACACAGGGCAACGAATGACGTAGTGCTCATGCTGCGAAAACATTGTCAGCTTCCTTCTGGACGTCCTCGTAACAATATATTTCCACTTTAGTGGAAGTTGTTTTAACTGTGTCTTCTACGAAAAAAATGTCCTTCATGGCACTAGTTTGGTATTTGACAAGCAATACATATTCATCCGCTTCTACATGAGTTTCAAGAGCACAGCAGTACCCGGATGGACTGTCATGGCCGCCGTCGCTGTGGTTCCATAGAGAGGAGAGAAGGAAGGCAAATGTTTGTGCTGTGTGTGTTTTCTACCTAAACCTCCTTTTCATAATGTCGGACGTTGACGGGACGCCGCCAGAACTTCCATCGAGTTCATAGTAAGAAATAACAGATTTTCTGTAACTTTGAATATTTTCGCGTGGGTGGGGGCTTTATTTTGGTGTAAAATAACTGGTTATTAAACTCCACAGACACTAACAGTGTCGCGAAGCGGCTCACATATTTCCCACGTACTGAGGTATAAATTGCCACAGTGCAATAAATACCACAGTGTAGTTAGTCTTTAGTCCTTTGTTGCTGTCTGTCCACAGCCTTAATTCTCCCACTAATGCAGCGTTCCCTCGCGTTTCCTAAACTTAAGCGACTATGGAGCAAGTCACTCGGAAAAAGTAAAAATGCACCGAACTCAAATGTCGAATTGTAATGTTATGGCTGAGATTGGCATTTTCGCAACATGTTGTTCTTGTCCCTGTGTTGTGGTACTGAGGCTGAGTGGAACTGCAGTTCTCAGACGATGCAACTTTTTCCCTCATCTCCAAGCTTCATTTCTATCTATCCCATCTGGACGGTGTGGGCCCAGAGTACCTGTCTGCACTGCAGGTGACTAACGTCCTGCTCTGCTTTATTACGCCACTAGCTTCATATATACAGTTTTATTAGTAATAATAAAAGCTAAGTAGGCTTTTTGTGTAGTTGAATTTGATTTTCATAGTGTATTGTGCATCGTGTTTATTAGTGGGTTGTGGCTATAAATGGTGTAAGTCAGCCTTAGTGCTTTTGTAAAGATAATGTTACCAGAAATTAAGTTTTGCTAGACGGAAGTAGCCGGTGCAGATTAGTCATAAAATCATGGCAGCCATTTTTCCCCCCAACATGGCTCCCTCGGATCCACAGGGTTGACAGCTGACAGAGACATATGGAGTTGTAGGCTGATGCAGGCTTGCTGCTGGTTTTACATGAATACTTTAAAAGTGTACTGTTGAATTGAGGGAGTGTAACCTGTTATCAACACTGTTTTAAGAGCTGGCCCTGTTGCACATTGCTTTAGTAACAGGGTCTTTACATCTGTACAGGAGCACAGGAACTATCAGGAAGAACATGTCCCTGTGTTTATTCTCAGTTAGGCCTGTCATGATAACTGCTAATATAATTTTCCAGAAATAATTGTGACAAACAATATTCCTGTAATTTTAATACCATTTTATGCCACTGATATATTGTTAAGCTCTTTCAAAGAGCAATGAGCTGTTAATTATTAAGAATATTCAGACATTGTTTTTTTTTTTTTTTTTTTGGAGACAAAATTCTTTTTCGAGTTTCTATTCATATCATTATGGATCATTTGTTGTCTAAGATATGTATACAGGGACGGACTGGAACTAAAAAACGGCCCTGGACTTTGTTGACTAGGGCCCGGCCCAAAGCAATCGGCGCGCGGAAACTCAAAACAACAACAATCAATAACGCCTGGCATGAGTGTACAATAATATATTAAGTATAAAAATACATTATAATTAAAATAATCATCCATGCTATCTTAAAATTAATTTATTACTTAAGTAATCTTAATTAATTTATGCAGTAATTAATTTACCGCCAATAATATACCACATTTTAATGAAATACACATTAAAAATGTAACTTCTGATTCAAATCTTCAAGTTTGTAAGCATTAACTAAGTTACCAAACTTTAAAAGTAAAAGCACAACATATTTCTTTAATATTAGCTACTATGCATGTGGAATTTAAGCTAAATTTAAGTTAGCTGTTTAATACTGTAATCATTATTTATTTCATTTTTGCATTGTACTGAGC